GACATGCCCGGGATCGATACACAGATCGCTTGTCACGAGCTCAACATCGACCCGACCTAAAAGCCGATCAAACAGAAGCGCCGAAAACTCGAACCAGAAAAGGCACAAGCCGTCAATGATGAGGTCGAACGATTACTAAAAGCAGGCTCAATCACCGAAGTCAAACACCCCGACTGGTTGGCAAATCCCGTGGTCGTTAAAAAGAAGAGCGGCAAATGGAGAATTTGTCTTGACTTCACCGACCTCAATAAAGCGTGTCCCAAAGATAGCTTTCTTTTGCCTCACATCGATCGCCTCGTCAAAGCAACCGCTGGGAACGAACTCCTCTCATTCATGGACGCATTCTCCGGATACAACCACATCCTCATGCACCCTCAAGACCGGGAAAAAACATCAGTTATCACCGATCGCGGCATATACAGCTACAAGGTTATGCCCTTCGGTTTGAAGAATGCAGGAGCAACGTACCAACACCTCGTCAACCGAATGTTCGCAAGCCAGCTCGAGCGAGCTATGGAAGTCTACATTGACGACATGCTCGTCAAGTCACTTATCACTTTCGATCATGTCGGCCACCTTCGCACCTGCTTTGATATTCTCGACCAATACGGCATGAAACTCAACCCCACTAAGTGCACCTTCGGCGTAACGTCCGACGAATTCCTCGGGTACATAGTCACTCAGCGTGGCATCAAAGCTAATCCAAAGCAGATCGCAATTCTACTCGAACTCCTGTCCCCAACAACCAAACGTGAAGTCCAGCGGCTAACGCGACGCATTGCGGCACTCAACCGGTTTATATCCAGATCAACGGACAAGTGTTTGTCGTTTTACCAACTCCTCCTCGGCAACAAGCACTTAGAATGAAACGAAAAGTGCGAGGAAGCTTTTACCAAACTCAAGAAATACTTATCTACACCGCCAGTTCTGTCCAATCCCAAGACTGGCGAGACGCTCTATATCGCGATCTCGGAATATGCGGTCAGCAGTGTACTCGTTCACGAAGACTGAGGTGAGCAGAAGCCAATCTTTTACACCAGTAAATACCTTGACGGATCGGAGTACCGATACCTAACCTTGGAGTCAGTATGGTCGGATTGGATCAGAGTACCGATACCCAACGCCCGTACTTTAAGTCGCACTCCATCATTGTCTTAACCGACCATCCTATTCGCACCTTCCTTCACAGCCCAAGTCAATCTGGTCGACTCGCCAAATGGGCCATCGAACTCAGCGAATATGATATCGAATACTGAGGAAGAACCGCAACAAAATCCCAAGTCCTAGCGGACTTCTTGGTCGAACTACCACCTGAGCTCATCGACGCCAATCTGACCATACAACCCTGGATCCTCCATGCCGATGGCTCCTCTTCCCATAAAGGGTCGGGTGTCGGAATTCGTCTCAAATCTCCTGATGGCGAGATCGTTGAACAATCATTCTGTCTTGGTTTTTCAGCGTCCAACAACGAAGCCGAGTATGGAGCTTATAGCAGGGTTACGCCTCGCCAAAGGAATCGGCTCCGAACACATCCACGCTTACTGTGACTCTTAACTCGTACCTAACCAGTTTCACGGAGAATACGAATCCAAGAATGATCGCATGGATGCATACCTCAAAGTCCTCAAAGATCTTGCTTCACAATTCTCGACCTTCAAACTTACGAAGATACCGCGGGACGAAAACGCTTCCGCTGATGCTCTGGCTGCTCTCGCGACTAACTCTAATCCCGACCTCCGGCGAATAATTCCAGTTGCAGAAATCGAGCGACCTAGTATCGAGCCCGCCTCTGTCTGCAATATTATCACAAGACGACACGACTATGAAGCCCATCCCAACCTCGCACCCCTCACCCGAAAGAAAAAGACTAAGGAAGTTGTCACTGATCTCGATGTTGATATGAATGAACAAAGTGACAATGAGTCCGAAGGTCAACACGTCCCAATCGACATCGAAGCGACATCATGGAAATTATGCAGAAAGTGCAAGAATGAGAAGGAGGGAATCACTCCGGAGCTCGTTTTTTAGCATTCAAGATCAAAAAAGCCGGCTATTACTGGCCCACTATGCTCTCAGACTGCGAAAAGTATGCCGCACGATGCGAGAAGTGCCAACGTCACAGCCTGATGATCAATCTTCCTACCGAACTCCTGATGACCTCGACCGCACCATATCCCTTCATGTACTGGGCAATGGATATCATCAGTCCGTTTCGCCGATCTACAAGCCAGAAACAATACTTTCTGGTCGTCACCGTTATTTCACCAAATGGGTCAAAGCCGAGGCGTATCCTGAGATACATGGCATCGACGTCAAAAAGTTCGTCTAGAAATTCATCATCTGCCGACACGGTGTCCCATACGAGATCGTCACAGACAACGGTACTCAGTTCACTTCGATAATTTTCGCCGACTTCTGCGTCAAGTGGAAAATCCGCTTAAGTTACTCCACACCAAGGTACCCGCAAGGAAACGGGCAAGCCGAAGCTACAAACAAAACCATTATCGATGGTCTGAAAAAACGACTTGATACGGCTAAGAGAACGTGGGCGGATGAACTCGACGGCGTCTTATAGTCTCACCAAACTACGCCACAATGTTCTACCGGTCAATCGCCTTTCTTTCTCGCGTATGGTACGGAAGCTATGTGTCTGGCCGAACTCAACATTCCTAGTATTCGCCGAACTATGCTCACTCAGCAGCCCAACAAGATCACAGACATGATGCTCGACATGATTGACTTAGTCGAGGAACATCGTGAACGAGCGTTACTCAGGATACAAAACTACCAACAACTGGCAGCTTGTTACTACAACAAAAAGGTTAAAGGCCGTCACTTCGAAGATGGCGATCTTGTACTTCGCAAAGTTTACCAGAACACCGAAGAAAAGAACGCTGGTAAACTCGGTGCGAACTGGGAAGGACCATATCAAGTCATGAAAGTCGTTAAACCTGGCGTTTATCAGCTTATGAAGCTCGACAGAACCCCGATCCCGAGATCCTGGAATTCAATGCATCTTAAACGATACTACTATTAAGTTCGTTCTTCCTAAAAAAATAAATAAATAAAAAAACCTCCGATCCTTTGTACTTAGAACTACGAATGGCTTGATCACTTTAAAGGGTACGTAGGTAGCTCGTTACCGAGTCCAGCTATAATATCAATAAAATTTTATTAAGCGAAAATGTTTAAGTTTTAGTTCGATACTCGCAAGATATTGAACTCTTACTTTACCAACATCGACTTCCTGGCCAGTTGTTCGATAGCATTCCACATGAATGCAAACTTAAAAAGCTGAGATCCATCTCGCTAACACCCACATGGTGCCGTGGTAAACTCCATACTATAAAGCCGGGGCCAGTCCCGCATTAAAAATTCTAAGTCATCAAGAACAATAAGCCGAGCCCATCTTGCATATATACTTAGGTTCGACTTAGAAAACCTTGAATTTGTGTCGTGCGTTTACAAGAGTTCGATCAAACTCACTCTTCCAGTACGATACAACTCACATGGGTTCCCCAGGCCGAGCTCGAATGCTTACACCCTAAGCCGAACTCCTCAGATTCGCACCATAAGCCAAGTTCTCAACACTTGCACATATAAGCCGAGTTAACGCAACTCGCTACCAAAATATGATATTAAGTTCAAACTAAAAAAAACCGATCTATTACTTCAAAGTACGAAGATATTCAAAGCAGAATATTAAAACAGATAATAAAAAACCTTTCGAAAGGCAAATAAGTTCGAAATATGAAAACCCACCGAGGGTTTGAAAACGAACGAAATATTACGAAAGCCTATAGAATAACCCATTAAAGGGCAATTAAGTTCAATTCAAAAGAAAAGAAACAAAAGACTAAACAGTCTTAGAAGCAGCAGTCTGAACCGCGTTAAGCATATCTTCATTCGAGCTGAACTGCTCGACTCCCCTTTGATCTTGTCTGCCTCTGACTGGATGATCGACAGGAGCTTCCTCACCAGCCTCTGGAAGTGGTGACATTCGCTTGTCCTCTTCAGTAAGGACATAAGCGTCGACAGAGTTAAACTCTTTCAGCACCGCCGCGTGCTTAGCTTTGAGCTCTGCCACCATCTCGGGAGGAACCTCGTACAAACCTTTATTCTTCAACTTCTTGATAAAGCCGAGAACGCTGGTAAGCTGATTAACCACCAAATAAGGCTTGCGAGCACAATCAGCATCATCCAGGCTCCGGATGACCTTCTCTAAACGCTCACAAGCCTTGGCATGAACCTTCCTCGCCCAATCCTTCCAGAGAGCCACCAAACCTTGCAACCGCTCCTTGTCCTGCTTGAACTCATGAGATAAGAGATTTTGCGCTTCCGTCAGCTCAGCCTTGACCGCCTTGAGCTCCGAACTCTCCTGTTTCAGCAGATCCACGGCATTGTGAAGCTCCTCATTTATCCGGAGCTCGGTAGCAAGGCGATCTTCAGCCTCGGAGATCCGATCCTCCAGCTCTGCCACTCTTACTTGCTCGTCGTATAGAACGATCTCGTATCCCGCGACCAAAGTATTGGTCTGACTAGCGAGCTGGGAATCAAAATAGAGTCAGAACTAATACTTAGAAGAATAAAAAAAAGGGGACAAGTTAGAAAATTACCACGGCAGTTGTGTGCACGATTCCTTTATACAAGTTGGGGAATCGGAGTTCAGAGACCTTCGGAAGACTCGGGACTTCGCTGGAGATCTTGTGGTAGAGATCGGCACAGGCATCGATGTTGTCCTCAAAAAGAACCTCCTCATCATAGTCAAAGCATACCTTGGCCCTTTTTGTCGGTTCGGGCTTTGAAGATCGATCAGCAGGATCCCTTTCTTGCCTTTTTCTCGTATTCCAGGCCTCGGCTTGATCTCCAGGGAGAGCGAGCTCTGATGTAGTAAGAACCGGAGGGTTAAGCTCGGCAGACGTTTCCTGAGGAAGAGAAGAGCCCTCGATCCTCTTGATTTTCTTCGAGGACTTCTTCTTTTTGGCCTTTCTCTGGGCCATTTAATCAGATGAGTTCGCAGCTGGAGGCACTTCCTCGTTTCTTTGTACGTCCCCTTCAGCAGTGGGAATGGGATCCAGCGCCGCATCATTCGGCTCGTCATCATCAAAAAGAGTTGGGATTTCCTCCAATGAGAGCATTGTCAAACGCTTTTTCTGGCATTTTACCACTTTCCGTTTTGGAGCAGGTCGAGGCTTTTTAGCTCGGCTCTTTGGCTTCAAAGGCTTCGGTTCCCTAACGGAGGCTGCAACAATACATGTAAGGAGGACTTCGGAGAAACTTAAAATATAGAGGGGAAAGGCTAAGTAATCTTACCAGATTTCTTAGCTCGGCATTGAAGTATCTCTTCCCAAGCTTCAAGCCAAAGACGTTTTCCAGCTTTGCTGAAAGCTGCTCGGAATTCAGGGGTGAGTCCAGAGTTGAGTAAGATACTTGGAAGGTGACGACCTGCGAAGATAAGCCAAAAAAAAAGAGTTAGAAAAATATGAAAGCAAAAATCCAAAGAAGAATTAAGATCGTCTAAATCTACCGATCAGGATCTTCCACTCCGATTGAGTTGGGATGTCAGCATTGCTGACTGTGAGATCGTTAATCTCGAGAAAGAAATATTGGGATTCCCAGTCATTATATTTACTGGGTTTGATCCCGGTAACGATGTCCTTCTTCGATTTGGCGTTCGCCGCAAAGAACCAATCCTTTGTTGCGTAAAGATTAACCGAGAAAAGATCTTCGAAGAGTCGGCTGGTTGGATCCTCGTTGAGCTCGGCGCACAAAGTTTGAAAACCTGTGTAGTTCACTACTGACGCCGGCATCATTTGAGTAAGAGCTACGCCTCGTCGGTTGTAATAACCAATAAGACGAGAAGGGATTGGGAAGGTGAGCCCGCACTGCGTGAAGTAAGTCAAATAGATGCAGAGGAAACCTTCGAGAACGTCCCATGGGCGATCTCCAGCGTCCGGAGTAATGAATATAACTCCCTCCGTGAGTCTGTGGGCCTCGAGTACGGTCCGAATTGTCATTGGAGAAAGAGAGGAAGCAGGTACATCATGAGGTCGGACAACTTTTCGTTTCGGCATTGGTGGTGAGGCATGATTCACCGCCTCAGGGTTGTCCTCGGCTGCATCCACTTCGGCGATGTTCTCGTCAGGAGTCCCCCTCTCGGACTCCGCGACCTCTTCAATTTCATGATCATCGTCGTCAACATCTGGCCCGACCCGAGCTTCGGTCTCGCGGATTTCAACTGTTAACTGTTCTGGAGAATCTACTCTCCGTTGAGGTCGGCTGCTACTGGCACCTACCGACCTAGAATTCTTACGAATCAAAGTCGGTGGATTACTCGCCGCTTGAGAAGAGCTCGTTGAAGAAGAGTTCGGTTCTGAAGGTTCATGACGATCCTCCGGAAAAATTTGTTTAGAAGAAGAGTTGATCGAAGAATCAGAAGACATTTTTAGTTTGAAAAGATGGATTCCGAAGAAGATTTGAAGTAAATGAAGAACAGATTGAAGTTTAATCGGAAAGTTTGAAGATGGATCGGAAAGTTTCAAGATGGATCAAAAAGTTTGAAGATGGATTGGAAAATTTGAAGATGGATCGGAAAAACTTGAAGATTAGCCGGAAAGTTTTAAGAGCACGGCGGAGAACAAGAGAGAACTAATTAGATCTACGAAGTTAAAAATCTAGAGAGAAAAGCAAAACTAGAGAGAAGGGAGAGCGGCGTACCTTATATATGCTGAGGCGAGAATAATGAATGCGAGGTAGGTTTATACTTCTTTATAAATAAACCGTGGGAATCGTGGTTCCTTGATTTCCGCGAAATCCCGGAATTCACACGCCACATTAAAATCGAGTTACGAAACACCCGGGAAAACGAATCGACCAAAATTTCCGAGCTCGTTTTGCGACCTTATTTTTTAGATAAAAGCCACTCTCTTTCATCGAACTGAGGTGGGGGGCTAACTGTTGGAGGTGAAAACCGCACCCCCAGTTTTCTCCGGTACAAACCGAAATCGGCACAAATTAGCCTCGTTTACGAAGGAATTATACCGGGAAAATTGGACCATGCGAGTTCTTGGGATAAACATAGCCCGATAAACTGAAGTCGGTCGAAACTTCTCAAAGGAATCGAGAAGTTCTCCGAGTTCGAAAGAAAAAGGAAAATTTCCGAATAGAAAAAAGAAACTTCCGAGAAGAAAGGAAATTGTTGAGAGAAAAGGAAAACGACCGAAAGACAAGGAAAGTCTTCTCGGTCTCATATCGCAGAGAAGACCCGTGAAGGCCGACTTAGAAGACATATATAAAGGAAGAGGAATCGACACCAGAAACACAAGAAATCCCCGAGAGACTTAGGGTCCGAATGGCAACGGCATATTTGGTTGTGCGGGAAAAGTGGTTTTAAAGTGCGGTACGGTTCAACTGCGGTACGTGCGGGAGAATTCAACTGCGGTACGTGCAGGAGAATTCAACTGCGGTACGTGCAGGAGAATTCAACTGCGGTACGTGCAGGAGAAATTCAACTGCGGTATGTACGAGAGAAATTCAACCGCGATACGTACGAAAAAACTATTTATACGTTTAATACAAAATAAGTGATGTAAAATATTATTTAATTAGTGAAAAACAACATATATGCAATATGATAGATATTGCCAAAACAAATATATTAAAAATATTAGTAAAATTATAAATTAGAAATGGTCTAAACATATTTTTTTAAAAAAAAAAACTGTATTGATCCATTTAGTTAATTTCATAATTTTTTGTATAATTTTTAAAGTTTTTGTTATTCTTAAAATTTTAACATAATTTTTATAAATATAGTTAATATATTAATATTTATAATAAATTTCAGTTGTAATATAGAAAACCGCATATGAAAACAGAACCGCATCAAAAACCTAGCGTAATTACTATTCCATACAAATTTCATTTTTTTCTTCATAAAACTAAAACCGCACTTATACTATTCATCTTTTTAATAAAAATAGAAAAACGCACCGCAGTTACAATAGTTTTTTGATGAATGGTAACATAAAAGCGGATTTGCGAAATCTGTCCCGCACCGCTGTTACCATTCATAGCCTTAGAGACTGAGAACTCAATATTTTAGCTTCTTACTTTCCTAAGTCTTAGTATTGAGTTCTTAATCTCTAAGTCATAAAAAGGAGAAGGAAAAATTTAATACTAGGTCTCAGTTTTCAGTCTCAGTTTTCAGTCTCAATACTAAGACAAGCAAAATTTAAATAATAAAAAGTAAGAAAAGACATATAGAATGAAGACGAGAAGGAAAAAGAAATAAAAGAAAATGAAAGAAAACTAAAAAGAAGACGTGAGAGAAGAAGAGATAAAGATGGAAGACGATGATAAAATATAAGGAAAATACGATAAAGAAAAAAAACGGAAAGATAAATAAGAAGAAAAAAAAAGATGAAAAACAATTATGTAGAGACGAAGAACTCGCTTTTGTCTTTGTCCAATTGGTTTGTGAGTTCAAGACACTTATTTAGTAAACATTTTTTTCTTTAATTTTAGATGGTATTTATTTTTGGGTTTGCTTTATTTTATTATGTATGACTTAAATAGTTATTTTAATTTTTTTCAATTTTGGTTTATAATATTGAAACCTCTATATCCGCTTAAGGTGCGGGCCAAATACCTAATTTTCCTTTATATAATAAGATTTTTACGGATGAATTGTTTTTCTATTTTGAAGTTTTTAGTTTTCTTTCATAGATTATAAAATATTAGATTACAAATTTGCATACATGAATCTATTTATCTAGTGTTTCATAAAAGAAAAAATTAATTTCTATTTTTCTATATGATATACGTTACTTGATTTCTCAATAAATACAAAATTTGATCATATTAACATTTTATTTTTAATTTTAGGTAAGAAACACATTTTTTTGTTGTTATCTGGGAAAGTTAGCCCAATAACAAAACAATGGTCCAAAATCAACAATATAGCTAAATTAGCTACATTTTAAAAGGCTCCAATGATAAAATAATAAGGGTCCAAAATCATTAATGCCTTATGATGTAGCTATATTGTTGATTTTGTCAATCAAATCATAGAGGTCTCTTTCCAAGTACGTGTAGGTAATGGAATAGGTTGTAACAAACCAAAATATTTGTGAGTTTGACAATTTCTAGACTGTCACATACTTTGAACATTCTGCCTGAAATGATTCCAATAAAATATTATGTGGATCCTCTTCGATGTCTTGGTATAGTTGGTAGTATGCGTTCTCTATAATTAATTTTGAAAAATATGTTTTTTTTAAAAAAACAACCTTACTAGGATACTGGCCCGTACGTATGTGCGCGAGTTTGAACGTTTTTCTACAATTCAAATGTAAGTGGATATAGTGTTAATCTTATTGGGCCGAGTGTTAGTTTATTGATAGTTTATAGTGTGTGTTCAGATTGATTCATATTTTGCAATGATATATTTTACGTAATTACAATTATATGTATAATGAAAAAAGTGTAGATAAAGAATACATTTAATTCGGAATACATACCTTAATTTTCTGTTTTTAAGCTATTTTCCAAAATGTATATTGAACAGAAAATATTTTATCGAATATAGATGAAAATGTATTCATTTATTTGGGAATGCATTTTCTATGAGAATTTGTGATAAATAAGTCAAATATTAGTTAATATGTTTTAATTAGAAAAGACTTTTGGAGAATATGAAAAACACGAATGAAACATGAGTCGTCACTCTCTATTAGTTCTATAAGTAAACAAAAAAAGAGAAGTTTCATCAAGTAACCAAGCAAAATTTTTTCACTCAAATACAACTCATACTACAACTATTCTTCTGATGTGATCCTCTCACAAATGTACAAAAATATGTTTACGTCCAAGAAAAAATTATGTTTTTTTACATAATATTTTTTGTGCATCTGTGAAGAATCACATCAGAAGAAGTAGTTTATTTTATTGTGTCGCCACAGTTTTATTTTAATTATGTTACTTGTCCGTACTCACTTTCGACAAGAAGTACATAGTTAGTACTTTCTATCAAATTCAGGAGAGAGTATTGACTGTGTACTTCTTGTAGAGTGAGATACAAGTAATAAATAAATTAGATAAACAAAAATATATAACATTTTCTCTAATTCTTTGCTAATTTAGAATTATTATTGTTCATTGGAATTTTTTGAAAGTACTATAATTCTGTAAAATAATAGTGATGTATTATATCGAGAACCAACATTGTGTAACAAATACAAACCTTTTAAGTGGGTGTCGAAATAATAATTTATAACGTTTTTCCTAATTTACCGCAAAGGTAGGTTTATTATTTCTCAATAGCATTTCTTTGAAATGATTTGTTCGGAATTAACTATATTATGTATGTCAGTCGTGTTTGAAATTTTAAATTTTTTTATTCTTTGAGTGATTTCAAGATTTTGTGAGATATGTTTTCCTTTTAAAAATTAATTTACGATTAATCCGCATCAACATTACTTCAAACTTACGATCAAAACGGTTTACTCACTGTTCAAAGATGATATAAATTATAAGTTAATCTATATTTTATAAAGCTTCTACTTGTTGACACTCATATTAATTATGTAGTATGTAACTGCTGCAAATGTAATATTTATGATTTAGGAAATGATTTAACTTAGTATTTCATAAATTAAACATTTAATATACTGTAAAAAGGAAGAAGAATAAAAACAACAAAAAAGAGAGTAACTTATTGAAGTAAAGATTTGTCTCAATATAAAATTAAGTTTGACATTTAAATGTAATAGATCAAGAATAAGTTCTTTGCATAGCAAGTTTCTTTTAAGGTAAAAGCGTACCAAAGTACTACACAGTTAACTGATACTCAGATTAAACAATTCAACGAACACCATAAACTCCAGTGATGGCCCACGTTAAGGGATAGTGGTTTAAATAACACTCTTGAATTTATATATATTATTATTTTTGGTAATGACATTAAAAGTTTATACAGCTTAATTGGTTCATAAAGCACATGCTTGACATTCTTTGTTTAGATTCTATTCTTGAAATAACAGTTTTTATATTTTCTTTATATGTTTGCACTCCCTTAAATTTAATCTTGGGTCTGCCACTGATGAGCTCTGAGTGCACTCGGCTCAAAGAGTCATGAAATCCATGAGATTCAGTGGAATACCACACTTGTCTATCCTAAAAATGTATTTCATTCACTCACTATTGTATATCCAATTCACTATTGTTAGATGAAGTATAAAGTTAACAAACATATGGAAATTGTGTTTCCATATTGAATATTCGTAATCGTATGAATACAAAGATGTTGATTATAATTTATAAGAAAAAATAAATGCATCTTTGTTAGGATTTTAGCGTACGAAGAAGAGTGCCCCATGCTCGAAGTCATCCTCCTGTTTTTGTAGTCTTTTTCGTATCATGTCCTTCTTTAAAACAATTAACA